ATAGTCAGGGTTTGTAAGGCAAACAATTTAATACAAGACACATAATTTATAGAATTATTTTATAATAGTCAACCAAAGAGTCAAATACAAACAAGTGCAGGAATTCTGTCCACACACTAAAGGCCCATAGAACTCAACTGAGGCCTGGATCCCAAGGCAATGTCCTGCATGAGTCGAGCTAAACCCTGGGCCCACAACAGTGTCTCATGCAAGTTTGTATCATGGATCTGCGCTGGGAAGGCCCAGACGATGGCAGTGGAAGCTAGAAAGTCTGTGCCAGCGGAGTGAAGGATCTGTGCCAGCAGGCTAAGGGATCTGCACTGGAGCCAGGAAGCAACACTCAAAATAAGGACCAGGGCTCCTTGGAAAAGTACCACAGCCATCCTCAGTGACGAGGTCCTGAGCTCCTCTGATGATGAGAACAGCCAAGTTTGTATCAGGAAAGAAGCTTCACAGCTCCTGCTGGTGAACCCACGGCAACAGGAGACCCAACACCTTCTTCTCCAGGTGTCTCTTAGGTTGGCATCGATCCTGAGGTAGGCCCTCCGCACCCAGCACCATATTGACTCAACTCAGCTGGTTGCAAGCTGACCACCAGGTGTTAACCCACCATAATATGTTACATCGATTTTAGAGATTCTAAGGAACGCTGGCATAGTTTACAGGTTGCTTACCTTGACATTAAGATAATTACCTACTCTAACTTTTTGTTGTTTCTTCCTCTAAAGTGGGTGTCCTTCTTATCAAACACTAAACTGTAGCATATGAAATCTTCTCTGATAAATAATATAAAGAAAACAGCAGGAAATCAGAGGGAAAGGATGCTACAGAGAAGCTTTAAAGAGAAAGTGATATTTAAACTCATATTTTGGGATAACTAGAAATATAATGGTATCGACGGATTGTATTTATATACTTTCAAAACTATGAAAACTTTTAGAAAATATTAACAAAATTAACCTTCAAGCAATGTATCATTTATGATGCACAATTTTATCGTATATGTCTTGAAAAAGAAGTACGATGTCAAATGTGTCCCATTTGGTAATTTCACTACTAATAAGTTATTTATAAAACATCTCCACTGAATGCTCTGGGACCCTCTGAGCTGAAAAGACCCAGACTGAGAAATCTGTCTTCACTCGGTGTAGGCAAAGAAGAACCAGTTCTGTGTAATTCTTAGGGTTTGGGATGCAACACAAGGGCTTCAGGAAAGCCCTTAGAGAAGAGGGGAGCGCGAGCAGAGGCAGCAAGGAATAAAGGAGGAAATCTCCCTTCTAGGAAAGCAGAAGTTTAAAATTCCATGAATAGTTTCTAGATATAATGGAAAATAATAATCTTTTAAAGTTTAATAACACTTCCTCTGAAATAAATTACAGTTCTAAGTGGTGTGATTTTTTTTCCCTAAAAGACCACTTGGAGGAAATGAGCTGGACACTTGCTTTGTATTTCCGTTTTTTTCCTTTCATTTTGTCATCAAATATTTATTGATTTTCTGATAGTATGTATTTTTTATTTCTTCCATTTTGCTTTGTCTCATTCTGTCTAGGGCATTTTAGCCAGGCTGCTGTAATAAAAACACCATAGACTGGATTGCTTATAGAACAGAAATATATTCATCTGAACTATGAAGGTCACAAAGCTCAAGGTCGAGGTGCTGGAAACAGATTGAGTTCCTTTCTGGTGAGGGCCATCGTCCTTGTTTGCAGATGATGGTGTGTTGACTGCCAGAGAGACAGACAGACAGGCAGACAGGAAGGAGGAAGAGAATCATCTTTGTCTTCCATATAGATGTACATGTAATATGTACATTGCATGTATCAACACATCTATCATATATATATATACCAGTCTCATTCCTAATTACCCACAAAGACTCCCCCAAATACCATCACAATGGGTTATAGTTTCAACCCAAGATTTTGTGGGGACACAGACACTGAGTCCACGCACGGCAGCAGGAGTTTCTGTCAGTGCAGCTTCCTTCTGCTTCCCGATTCTCTTTGCATTGCGGAGCACCTCCCCTGGGAGGCTCTGCCCAGCCAGGAATGGCGTCTCAGCACAGCCTCGGATTCAGTCAGGCACTGCATGTTCTCCCGGGGGGCGATGGAGCAGGATCTGAGGGAAGGCACCAGATTGAAATGTTATTTTCTTTGGATTTCCATTGATAACTTGCCATTTGGTGCATGGAACATTCTATCCGTTCCAGATTAGGGGACTGATGCAGAGAACAGTGTGCCCAGAAGATGGTTTACTTCTTAGTCACTAACCTGGGAACCGCAGTACCCTCGGGCCAGGGCAGGGCCTCGTGGGTACTTAGTAAATATTTGTTGCATGAGCAAATCCCACCACACCTTCCCAGCCCGCTGTCCTTGTAGAGGACGTTAGGGACCCTTTGGGAGGACTTCCCCCTCTGAAGGGTGAGGAAACGCCTTAGCTCGAGGCTACTCTGCTAATTCCTAGTGATATGAAAACCAGAACCTACACCCTCAATCCCCACTCCAACATCTTTTCTATACACATTATAAAGGGACACTTTTTCAAAATATTTGTTGCCCTAACTATTGAAAACAAAATTAAACATTGCCCCAGTACAGAGAAGAAGCACACTTTTTGAGGTGAGAGTCCCAAATACACAAGTTAGTAGCACTGTATAGGAAGCAGTAACATGTCAGCCAGTAGATAAAAGTCATATTATCAATTGGTCGTCTCTAGGTAAATTAATATTGTAGTATAAAAGACTCTAAATTTAATAGTTTGAATTATATTTGAAAGCAAATTGATTTCTAATAGTGAAGTCCAGACATTAGTACAGATACTCTGTTACTCCTGTGTAAACTCCTTTGAGTTCTCCACAAACTAATTCAGCCAGCAGCTGAGATCATGGATGATAAGGATCAGTCTAAATATTAGAAGCTTATGTTTTAACAGCACTAATTTTATATGTCGCTACTTTATCCAAAGAAGTCTTTATATTTTAGATAAAAGCAGATTTTTATCTAAACTCACTAGATGTCTGTCATTGTATGTTTTAATTGTAGAGATATAAATTAGGGTTTATAAGTGATCTTCAATTTTTAATTTTTTTTGCCAAAAATATAAACGAGAAAAACATACAAGAGAAGATAAGTTGACTAAAATCAGACTGACTGTCTCACTCCTGATTTTAAGGACCTGTGGTTTCTCTGGCCTGGTATGTCCTGAGCCTCCCTGTCAGGCCCTTGCCAGGCGTGTAGGAAAGGCTGGCAGTCCTGGTTCACAGCGCCGTCGTGGAGAAGCAGCAGCTTCCTTCACGGACAGTTCACCGAGCTGACACTGCGACTGCTCTTTACATTTGGATGGACATGCAGACCTCTAATGCTCTGTTTCAAATAATGCACTTAATGCTTACTTCATATATGTTACTTAGTACTATTTTCACATAATTTCTTCCCTGTGCTCCATCTGAAAGTGATTTTGTTATAGGTAGGAATTATCAGTAATGTATTTTTATTTCTCCATGTTTCAGGAAATTGATATTGTTCTTTGAATTAGTGAATATGTCATAAAATACCATATTGTAAAAGAGAGCCAACATTACAACAGCAATAGCCCCATATCTAATTATTAAAATTTAGGAGGTAGTTCTGAATGGAAACAAGTTCTGTAAGTAAAACTGAATGGTTTAGAAAGGAAAGAAAAAAATAACTGAGGGGTCAGCGTCTCACTGGTCATATAGAGATCCCATTTAGTCCAATTTAGGGTGCATTTTCAGAGGTCATGAAAGAGAGACAACTTTGATCAAATACATGAAAACTAAACCTTTCAAGGCAGTCTGTTGAAATTGGAAAATCTGCTTACATTGTGTCACCATGACAGAGTGCACACTTGTATGACCCGCTGTTTGTGTCCTGAGCACCCCTGGGGGACAGAGGACTGGGCAAAGAGCCAGAGGCCTGCTGCACTGGAGGTCAGGTCCTCTGAATGACATCGTGGAAAAGCTACGTGGCTGAAGCTCCTTAGGGCTCTTTTAGAACGGCCACAGAAAACAGGCATGGTCCTGAACTGGAGGTTTAAGTTTCTGCAAATGCTTGTAGGAGAAACATCACAAGTGTAGGGTCTTATTCTGTGCGGTGCTCCAATTTGACCTGTGCAAGGAATTTTACACTTTCATGGTTATGTATGGAGGCATAATTAAACAAAATAATTTGTCTGATATTTTAGAAAAATATGATAAAATTGGGATTTTGAATAATTAATAAATACCATAATGTGGTGCCAAACTCTTAAGTGATTAAAATATTTCCCTCCCATTCAGCAGTTACAGACGTGATACACTTAGGGCATTGTTCCGCTTCTAGACTGAAAGATTACACACGTCTTGGGGAGCTGCTGTATCTAACGATATAAATAAGCTTGGCTTTTAATGTAAAGCCTTTGTTCTCTTACTGAATATATGCATTTCATAATTTTCTAGGGTAAAATAATTAAAAGAAATTTTAATTTTAAAATATATGATCAATACTGAATTATAACAAACCCATAAAAAGAGGAAGCCAAACCCTTTTTCTCACTACAAGTGATCCCTGGAAAAGAAACGTCTCTGCCATTTTAAATAGCACTACAAAAGAAATGATGAATTTGAGAATTTTGAAATTATTAAAGTGGTAATCAAACTTTAAAATTTAATTAAAAGTACATATTCAGAACCTAATGTGTATAATAAAGTAGCCAGTAAAGCTCTTGAAGTCTTTATTGAGATTCATTTATCTCTTTCTTAATCTTATTTTTTGTCAATTAGACACCATTATCTTAGTAAGTTTTTTTAATTTTACTGCAATGATTTTAATATCTTTGAGATTTCTATATTTTCTTTGGAAAACTTTCTACTGAAAGCAGCCACAAAGCAAAGTAAACTGATTTACATTTTATATTAATTCTGAACTTTGAAACCATTCCTTTTTGGCTCTGATTTTACAGTGTGCTGTTTTTTGTTTTGTTTATTTGCTTTGCTCCATTAGCCTTTTATGTCACCTCGGTACCCTGGAGGTCCCCGGCCGCCTCTGAGGATACCTAATCAGGTAAGATCACTGCTACTTACATTGCTTTCTTTAATTGATAAAGACCTTGAAAGTATTACAGGTATCTTTTATTCTGTAAGAATGTAAAATTAGCCAGGTGTGGTGGTGCACACCATAATCTCAGCACTCGGGAGGCTGAGCAAGAGGATCACTGCAAGCAAGTTCTAGGCCTGCCTGGGCTGCATCTCGAGGCCCTGTCATAAGAAGTAAAAGAGAAATACATACCCTTTCTCTAATTCACATCATGCTACTTCTAGAAATATCTAACATAATACAGTAAAACAAGGGCTGGCTCCCGCAGGGCTGTATGATGAACAGTTTTATTGGGAAACAGCCTCACCTATCCGTCTATTGTCCATAACTACTTTTACAATTTAGACTTGCATGGTTCTGACAGAGCCATGTGTGGCTTGCAGTTATCAAGAATAGTGAAAGAGATGGGATTTTGACAGTGTTCAAGTCTTTACAGAATAAGTATGCTAACCCTTTGAGCCCTCCTTATACTTTCAAGTGTGTTTTTAAAGATTTACATAATTTGGTAAATGCTGACTGCTGTCCCATTGCAGGATGATAATGAGATTATCTATGAATATAGTTTGGTTTACTTTCCTATACTGTAGCTTTAGTATCATGGCTCCAATGTTCCTGTAAATTTTGTCCAGTTACAATGGCAGATCAGACAATTAGCTACTTCTAGAAGAGTTTGTGATATTAATAAACAAATATTTAACAATGAATCTCCCAACTTTTTTAACCATGAGGTTTCTAAAGTTTCATAATGTTTAGTTCTCAGTTTTTTTTTTAAATCAGCACCGTAAATATTTATTTGCCGAAGAAAATAAAGCACAATTTTTACTTACAAAATGTTAGTTTACTTTTAGGGTACATGCAGTGCATATGCATCTGTATGCAAAGGCTAATCAAAAATGCGATGTGTGTTTAAACTTTAAAATGTATTGTGATAAAAGATATATTGCTATATATATTCCCCCTCAAAACACTTCCCTTACTTTAAACATGTTCATCCCATTTTTCTTGCCCCTTTCTGAAGCTGTCCCACAGTCCTCTTTTCCAAGTGTCTTTATGAGATGTGATAAAAAATATGGTTACTAAACCAAGCATGGTGGCTCATGCTTGTAATCCCAGTACATGGGAGGCTGAGGCGGGAGGATCATTGCAAATTCAAGACCAGTTAGGATGCAAAGTGAGATCAAGGCCAGCCTGAACAGCATGGCGAGACCCTTTCAGTGACTTCCGAATGCTGTCAACTGGAAAGACAGGCTCATAAAGCATAACCTGTGTCCTCCTTCATTTTCTTCACTGGATCTGGCAGCCTGTGAATCTTGGCTCTTCCCCAAAGTCAAAATGATTACGGAAAGCAGACGTTTTGATTCGCTTCTGAGCAGCCAGCAGCCAGCAGCCAAGACAGCACAACTAAAGACACTAATGAAAGAGGACTGCAGAGCTGCTGCAGGAAGTAGCAAGATTGATGGGATGAGTGCACTCAGAGTGAGGGGAGAAGTCTGATAAGGACTCACTGCAATGAGTCTTTCACTGTAATAGCTTTTTTAAAAAAAATTTTTTTAAACTTACACCATTTTTCAGTCTCGCCTCATACATGGAAGTTTCTCTTGGGGAATCCTTGAAGAGGAGTTGAAGATGACATGAAATAGAGAGGATTGCTAGGAGAAAGGAAGCAAGTAGAAGTCGGGACAGGGCAGAGCCAGAGGGTGACAATGTGAAAGCGATCCAGGTGTGTCGTGTGCGTGCCCAGAACTGGCAAGAGGAGACTCATTCATCTGTATAATTACTATGCACTCATAAAAATTTTAAATTATTTGTAAAATAAGCAACAATACTTAACAGTGTGGGATATTTATTTCAAGGTAACTGTCTTTTCATTTTCTCTAGCTCCATTCCATACCTTAGAATTATCCCAAATATAAAGTCAAACATGTTATCACAATACATTCTTTTCATTCTTATTATCTTTGCTTTTCTGCTTCCTTCACTACCAAAAATGGAAGAGCAAAGTTGCAGTTACTGATTCACTTAGTAGTAGCCAGGTTCCTGTGCTCCTCTTCACACTCTTACTGCAGTCACTCCGTGTCTTTGAAGTTTGCCACCTTCACTGGTATTTTCTGCTTCTGCCGCACAGCAGGGAGGACAGCACCCACATCCGCCCCGGGGGAGAAATTAATGCGGAAACCATGCTGGGTCACCTCTGAATTTTAGTGTGTGACCTTCCTCCCATTAGTGGCAGGAGCACTGTTCCCCTGCAGACTGAATCTGCCTTCAGTAGGCTGGAGCAGGGGGACTGGGGAGGAGGGGGATGGAGAAGCTTGCAGTGCCCAGTGTGCCAACCCGGGGAGCTGTTTTCTCTGTGGGGGAACCTGTGTGTATCAACTGTCAGATCTACTTAAACAGGTGTCTCTTTAAATCTCATGTGTATAAAGTTCAGAAATTTGCAGTCCTTTTGGAGTCATCATGATGTTTCTGATACAGGGGAACGAAACTCTCAACCTACTATATCCGGTACGAGCTCCTGTTCTCTAAAATCGAAGAATGAATTTTAGGAACAACAGAGGTTAATTGCAGAATATATTTACTGAGAGAAAGAAAGCTTCTGTCTTGAGAGAAACAGAAGGGGTCCCCAAGTGGGTTGCAAAGGACTCTGTCTTTTCTAGAGACTTTGTATAGAGTAAAACCATGGGTCCAAGGTGGGACATAACTATAATTAGCCAATAAGATCAATAGTTCAGGTAAAATTCATTACATTAGGGACAAACGGGCAAGCAAGTCATGTAGAAAGCGGGCATTCTTAGAGCTGTGACTTTCCTAGGGGGATGGGAACTATTTAGGGTATCAATCCTAGGATATGGCTGCATTTGTATGGTCTTTTGTCTTGAGGCCTGGCCAACAGCAGAAGGTGTCAGCTTCCCAGGGAACTGCCAGGTGTTTGCACTGGCTCCAAGGAGGACTTCCCCTGTCTCACTGCCTATAATATTTCTAACTAACTCAGCTACCTGCAACATTTCAAACATCCCATGCTGAATACTGTACACTGCATGGTTCTTGGGAAGTGTGAAATTCTTGTGTGAGTGTATTAGCAGAATATGTGAACTCCATGTGTTGCACAGCAATAGGGAAAATGTGACTGAATTGTTGGAATTGCACTCATTTGACATTGTTGAAATGACTGCTGTGCATAAAGAAGACAGGAGGTTTCTTGTCCATAGACTCAGAATGAAAGCCACACTTCTAGGAAGAGCCCAGTGGTAGGTAAAACTGTGAATGCTGATTGTTTGAAATGTTTTAAGAATATATAATATCTTTGGTGTTTTTAAAGAAGCAATTAAAAAGCTGAAGGTAAAAGTCTACTGCATATCTCTACCCCTGAATGTACAAGGATACTTAGTGTAACCTCATCTATTCAAATATCTATTGTATAAAGAATTTTCATTGATGCTATTCTGTAAAATAACCATGTTGGTAGCTTAAGTAATAATATTTAGGGAAAATTATCCTAGTTAGAAGCATGATATTTTCCAATATAAGTATTATTTGATTTCATCATGTAGCCATTAAAGTAGAATTGGCATGAGTATCTTTTGATTAATCGAAATGATGTACATAAAACAAGAATATTAAAATATTTAAAAATTTAGTTTTCATTTAAATTGATCATCACCTAATGAAACAGTCCCTTAATCGATTGTATGTAAGACACTAGGGCAACACTGGCCTCTGCAGTGGTCAGTCTACACTAGTCATGTAGAACATGTGAAAGCTATCACTTTAATAGACAAATTTCTTACAATTTATAACTACTAGGCTATAGAGTTTAAGTTTCTCTGAAATGTTTGTATGGTTCTGAGCTAAATCAGTAGCAGTTTCTATTGTCTGTATGTTTAATAAGACTGGGTGTTTGGAAAGCAGTATGACATTAATACGCTGAAAAAAAAATGTAGGAACAGGTACTAGTGTCCAAAATCCTGAAAATAAAGCTCCATTCCAGAAGTACACAATGTAGCAGAGAATAAATATAGAGGAAGAAATATGTGAAACATGGAAATTAAGGCCCCAAAACGTGTTTGTACAATTGCACACTGACATGGGTCCAGCTCTCAGGAGAGGCCAGTTGATGCCTTCACAACGTGAGAGGAACTTTTCTTCACCCTTCTCAGGGTAAAATGTCAGATGGGAAGGCTTCGTGGTATTAACAGAACACAATACTGAGAAACTGAGCCAGCAGTACAGACACGGTTAATGAGAGGGTGGCACTTGGTCTATCGATTCTGTGGAATTTTTTAAATGTATGCTCTTCTCACCATTCTGGAAACATCAAGAGACCCATGAAGTAAGACAGCATGGATCAGCACTGCTGTTCATTCTGTATGCTAATGCGGAGTTTGGTGCTCTGTGCACATACTACCTCTGACCATTCTGCTCAGCCTAAAGATCTTTCAAGTAATAGGTGAGTGGTTAAGTGCATCATGATACATTTAAATAATGAAAAAGCATGCAGACATTAAAAGGCATAATAAAATTAAATCTATATTACAGAATTTACATTTGCAAATACAAAAAATACAAAACATGTAAGCATATCACCTTTCCTACATAAACATATGAACTCAGAGAATCAGAGAACTTATTTCATTCAGCTGCACACAATCATACTCAATTGCCAAAACAAAAGTAATAATAATAATAATAATGTAAGGACTATACTTATTTGTGTGGGGTGGGATTATGAGCAATTCTGCTTTATAAAATTTTCAGGATTTTAAAATTTTTCTTTGAGTAGGTGTTATCTGTGTGGTTAGAAAAAGATGTTGAATTGTATACAAGGATAAATGAAAGTATAAGTATTTTATTCTTCTGATAATTTAATATATAGGACTATGCTTTATTAATATTTAATGGGACACTCCTATATGACAAGATAAAAATATATTGGATTATCAGGGACCTGGCCAGGATCCCCAACTGCCTGT